TATTGTTCGAGTTATAATTATATATAATATAATATATATATATAAATATATATATATAAACACACACACACACATACATATCTCAAGTCTTGGCGTTTAAGTCTCCTCTTGCGCCCGGGTGGTCTTCCCCGTCACACACAAACGGGCAATATTATATCAAAACAAGCAGACGGTCACTTTAAGCTCTTCTCGTCCTTTTTTTCTCCATCGATGACTTTCACAATTATTCATCAATCCGTCTTATCGCCGACGGCAACGTACCAGCTACAAATCTCGTCACTGCATTGTTGGTTTGTCCTAGCTCACGTCATTCTTATCGCGTCCTCTCGTTTTTGTACGTCCCTCGTCCGTACTTACAAAAATAAATAAATCAAACTTATTTGATTCGTCGTAAGTTTATGATCAAGTCAAACAGCAGACCGTCACCAGTCAAACCTCGTTAAAGGGAAAAAAATTCTATTCAATCAGTTTACAGTGTACATCATATAATAATAAATAATCAATGAATATAATCATTAAATTTGTACTCAGGACTTAGGAACAATGTAAACCATATCGTATAATTAATTGTAAATGTTAAGTATATGAAAACATCGTAAGTGCGTTAATTTAAGAAATCTAAGTATAATTAAAATTAGGTAGGCAATTTTACTTTAGATTTTCCCTCTGGACTAGAGCTGGTACAGTCCAACCTTAATATCAATATTGATGCTTCTTTTTCTTTGCCTTATCCCATTTATAAATAGAGCTAATCAGTCACATTAGCTCTGATCTCCATCCATACTTTTATACGACTTTTTTTATATCTACCATCCAGTTCCTCTTCGGAATACCTCTAAATTCCTTTTTCACAAATATCTTTAACCCACCTCACCGCCTCCCTTTTCAACACTCCCGAACTATGTAAATCACTTTTATTTTTGCTGCAGTGGCGTCATTTGTGCATGCGATAATAAATTAACATTTCTTAAGGTGGATAATTTTCTAATGATTTTAAATCTTCAATCTTATGGTGACATTTCGGACTCGTTGCAGAGTGGCTCGATTATTTTCTACCGCTATTAAACCTTGAAAACACCGTCTTATCAAGATCAGGGGATGTCGTACGGCAGAACACCCGGGTTGAGATAACAAGGTGCTTTCAAGGATGTGGAAACAAGTGAGCCAGTCGGTATAGTCACGACATCAAAACGGTGACTATCACTGCAAAGATGGATTCTGAAATGAGTCCGAAACGTTAGCACAAAACTAAGACGTGGAAACATCCGAAAATTATCTACATAAAATATAAAATTATTAATACGTTGCATTATATGGTCGATGAATCGGCATTCACCTTTTACAAACGTTATACTTATACAACATTGTTATAACGCGAGTAGTTATTCAAAATATAAACCCTACCTCGTTTTCCCTTTTCTCGCGGTACATTATATTATTATTTGATGTGTCTATACCTACGTTATTATTGCTACTTATACACCGACGGGTCACAATAAAAACGTCCGGAGCTGTAAATAACGTGCCGGACGAGAGTTAGAAATGTAAACATGTCGGAGAGTTCACGCAGGGAAATGATTGTTATTAATCGACAGGAGACCGTCCTTGCATCTCGTTCGACTAGGGCTCCAAGGATTGAACGAGCACCTCCCCCCCGTAGAGGTAAATTGTTATACGGTTGGAAAATATTTCTTAACGTCCGGTATGTATTTGTCAATGGGGCGAAAGAGATGAAACTTTCAGTATGACACAAGTCACGCTGACAGATTAAACGTCGTCATAAACATATTTGACATCAGCTCCTTTGACCGTTTCACTATTTACCCAACAAAAGTATTTGAGTATTAACAAAAAAAAAAAAATAGTTATTGCACCTATACCGTCTGATATTTTCTCGTCTTTGGCAAAAGTGAAATAATTTAACTGCAATTTGATAAAGGGTTCATGTAAGTTAGGTTTTAAAATAAAATAATACATTCTATTTAAAATCGTTTAACTATAAATCCAAAGTATTAATCTAATGTATACGATTAAAGAATATCTAAACGTTATTTGTTCGTTCTACATAAAAATTACAATTACATTTTCCCAATTTTTTCAATTAGGCAATCCCCCTTCCAAGCTGGTAAATTGAGTGTGCTTATTGTTTTTGGATATCTTCAAAATTTATGGAATCTATGCGTCTGTTATTGGAAAATATAACCGTGTACCTATTGTCATTTATAACTTATGGATAGTTTTAAGTATATTTAATTTTAGCGGAAAATGTTTTATCATAATGAGTTAATGTACAAAAGTTGTCGATTTTTAATAAAAAAAAACTTGTATTAACATTTACCCCATTTTTTGAAAAATAGCTTATTTGCAACGATTAATTACAACTTCATATAAAAAATATATTTGACATTATATAGAGTAGTCAGAATAAAAAATATACGAGGGACATTATTAAAATTTTACAGGACAGAAAAATAAAAATTGTACTTTTAATGTGTTTTTATCGGCAATGTTCATTAGTTCTTTTTCAATACCTCCTTAAAGAATGGAAGATAAATTTAAAAATAAATAAAAGTATTTAGAAAAATATGTCAATGCCAAATGACGCGTGATGAAAAACTTATTTTTCAAAAACATTTTACTTTTTCTTATCACTTTATATAATAAGTTTGTATGGATATAATATAATATTAAAAGAGTAAATAGTGAATAGTCTAAATTGTTTCGGGGGTCTTACCTCTATGGAAATACTGTCCCGCTAAATAAATTAATACAACAAATTGAGTTTCTAAAGTTGGAAAGGGGAGAGAGGAGACAGTAAGTTATACACATTAACGTATAAAGCACCGGTTCGGCTAGGCCAGTGTTTACGTGATCAAATTATTAATAGTCATCCCAACCAGTGCAAAATAAGTCTGTAATACAATTTTATAGAAGACACTTTTTATTTCCGGTAGATTATTGAAAACATGTTCGGTCTGGTACCTACCAATACATTCGGTTTGACAATATATTACAAGCTCTTAGTGGTGTGAATTAATTTTGTGTTAATATATTGGATAACAATATTAAACCACATTTTCACGGTATTATAATTTTCGATTACGTCGGATTGCCCCTTTTGGTCACCGTTACTGTCGGTTACTTAAAAGAGTATTTTCCCTTGCCGCCGGCTCAGCTGTCGGTTCACGGCAATCGCTTGCCGGTCGGAATGCGTGTCTCTTGATACCCGATTAAAACGTTTAAACTGTATTTTTCCCTTCTTTTCCTTTCACCCCGAACATTTTTCTCCTTTTCGGTCTAACGTGTATAAATAATTTCGCCCGTACTTGTGTGTATACAATTAAGATTTATTTGTCTGTTCGCTTTGCCGTGTCAACGCATGTACGGCCGCTTGTAGTCTTACACCGTTTTGTTACATTTACAAAAACATACCTTTTAAATATATTATATCATAATATGCGATCAGGGTAGGCTTAATGGCCAAATTCATTAATTTTGAGAATCAAATATGGTCGAGTACGATTTAGGTTTTACTTTTCGCGACGATAAATCTTAATGTCGCACACAGCTCACTTTAATTGCATTCCGGAATTTGGTTTTTTTTTTAGTATGCATTCTTGACGAATTAAAATTCCTTTGGATAATATCGTGATGCTGCAAAGAAACCTCAGGCGCTGGAAGAAATGTAAAAAATACTGGCATTTTCAATAATCATTTTCATTAAAATTTATAAATAATTAATTATAAAAGTGAATCTACTATAAAACGACATTAATTAAAATATGCATTCAATTTTACACGAAACGTGAATGTGTTTTTAATCATAGACACATGTATCATGTATTTTTTCATCCGGTTGCGGTCGGATGTACGCTGACTCTGTACCAGATATTATTAATAGATTAATTGTAAAAACTTTTTTTTTTATAGACTTCTTCACTGACTACAGCCATTGAGCATCATAAATGTTTTACGTTAACTAGCCATTAATACAGGAATTAACAGCTAAAATCGACGTTAAATATTACATAAGCCATCCTTGTATTCTTTGACTGACGAACAAAGTTACGACTTAACGTCACTTAAAAAAATAAATAAATACACGTACTGTCATGATAGAGTCATAATTATCTTTCACACAAATTATTAAATTCACTGTCAAAGAATCTATTTGTTGTCGCTTAAAGATTTGTTGCAACCGCAAAATCATGCATAATTGATTACAATGCAAAATCCGAAGGATAATGAAATAACAATATTTCAAGCTGGCAAATAGTTGAAACACTGGATTTTTATTTATTTTTATGCAACGGTATAAGTTATAACATTGCATAAAACAATTTTAAATTATAATTCATACGGTGATTATTATAATATTTATTATTTTCCCCACTTCACCGTATAGTATTCACTATTTAAATGCTTATTTTTTACTTTATTCACTATTGAAGTTAATTCTTCTCATTAACACATAAAAATTTCTATCTCATTAAAAAAACTTCCCCAATACTGCTGATTATTCAGGAATGACCATACTCGAGCTAATTTAAAACGAGCATGTTAAATAATATTTCCAATCAACTTTTCATCCATTTTTTTTGGTATAGTCATGATAACATTAAAGTACTAATATTTTTTTTAAATTCATTTATGTCATTCTAATAATTTTTGGTATCATACGTCAAAAGTTCGAGAAAATCGAAGCGAGATAATAAGCAATACTTGTTATATTTATGTCAAAATTTGTATTATTATATTTTTTATTATTTTATCTATAATTTACTAAAATTTTAACGTTATAAATAAAATTATGGTAATCAACTCATAAATATATTTTACAGTATAGTTAGGTATTGTTTGCTTTAACTTCAGTTATATTAACTCCAATAATATCTTAAACTATATTATTTAACAATATTTTCTAGTAGACAAGCATTATGTATAAAATATGTTGTAATAATTATTTTTATGCAATAACTAACTGCGTTTTATTCTTTCAGGCACTTGGCGCTTTTGATACTTATTATATCGTTGAATATATCCTCATCGCTGTCTAGACAGGTAAGAATATATAGTTTTTTTAGTGTAGTAGTAAAATATAAACTAATGGTCGGTAAAAAGTACGCATTATGACATGTGTTATTAATCTAAAGTAATTATTTTTTTTATTAACGAACGTGGTAGTCAGTGCGATAATATATAAATAGATTTAGTTATATCAAAATTAATAGTTAAACAAATGTTTCTGTTCTCTGTTTTTATTTTTCTGAACTTACCTAAAAGTTTTACCGTAAAGTAAACCTTTTTGAAAAATATATTAGGTTCAACTCTTTTCCTTAATTCCTTGAAGAGTGAAGTCTATGTCCCTCTCTCCTTTCTCTCCTTACACACGTTATTGATCCGCGCCGATGTGAATCTAAGGCAAAATGTTTAGAGTTAATTAACTATAATATACAAACTAAATAATTTAAGTTGTATTTTTTATCCTGTTAACTTGTGTAAATGTTGATTGATAGTTTATAATCGTATTATAGCAGCATCTTTGTATTTTTGTTTCACCGTGTAAGATTTAAGTAAAGGTATATCATTATTAGTATAGTTAAAGATGTGCAAAATAACCAAAAAAATTAAGGTAGACACTAACTTTTATTTTACATCATATAATTCTATTTTGTTTTATATAATTCGGTTATTTTTTTTGTTTTCAAGATTGAAACCCCTAAAATCTTCCCCGTAACGGTGTTTTACCGATTACAATTTACTCATAAAATTATTAATACGATTAATCATCAACTGATAATCAGGGGCGAAATGTATAGTGGGGGTGCTATTATACCTACAAGTACAAGTGTAAATGTTATTTTATAAATTGGATGTATTATTTTGTATGTTTTTTTTCCCGCGCCATAAATGTCGTTGCACTTGTTGCTGGGAGGTATATCAATTTGATCACAACCCTCCATTCATCAAAAACCATACAACTTATACACGTGCTGGCCATGTGCGCGTGAATTGTATACGGCTATTGTGAGTGTGTGTGTTTGAGTGCGATTCGGATCATCAAAAGGGTCTACCGCCGCTAATCGGTTGCCTGGCGCGTTTATTAAAATGTGTAACACAACGCCTGACGGTTATAATATTGTAGACGGTGAAAGACACTGCCGGTCATAATTAGTATTATTATTATGTCTAAGAATGTTGGCGGATTTTCATAAACGAAAAATTATCTCGCCAATCAGATAGTTTTTAATTTAAATCGCATTACGTACCTCTACCTACTCTAATTTGTTTTAGTTATAAAAAAACAAAACAAAACAATAAATGTTTCCACCTTACTCCAATCAGTATTGTACCTAATATGTGTATGTCAAAGACTTGGAAGTCAGCGTCTCTCTGTATAATAAAAAAATATATTTTCAATCTGAATCGAATTTTAACGGTTGAAAATAAATAAAGTATAAATGCAGAACTTCAGTAGCGTAATGCGTAAAAATAGCGGCTTACTTAAAAAGGAGTCGGCGGATAAGACACATTGTGGCTCGCTGTCTTTAGAGACACATTAGGTACAATACTTCACCACTTTACTCTTAACTCAGATACGTTTTTCTTTGGTCGAATATCAGCTGGTTTATGACGTCATTATTTTACATTAACTAGCTGTCTGCAGTAGTTTAAATCGTTGACCTTATGTCAACCCATTTTTTCCTAAAACGTCTTTATTATAATTAACACAGATTATTCCCACTACAGCTTATAAACATTATTTAAAATATTATTTTTAAACACAAAACAATTGTATAATATTGAAGATATAAAAAATATGTCTGTTCCAATTAAATTATAAAATTTAATGTCTCATAATTAACACACTATGAGAACATATTGAGTCGGCAAGCACAAACGAAATTTTTATTTTTTCCATCTCAATAACGACGATGACATCATAATATAGTCATTAAATTCATACATAATTAAGTTTTTGCTAAATTAAAAAATAGCACAATAATATTAAGTTAAGCATAAAAAAATAATTATATTTCATTGGCTAAAAAAATTAAATATGTCACTATTAAGTTTATTATTAAACATTTTTTTTGCACCACTTAGCTTTCAAGTGCAATTTTTGTATTTTTTATTATCAAATAGTACATTACATTATAATATTAATGATACTATAATGATATTGATACTATGAAAGCAATCGTCAATAATGTAAGGCATGCAGTTGAGTCCATAAACTACATTATTTCATATGGATAAGTACATATTGAAGTTATATAAACAAGTGTAGATAAAACAAAGTTGAGTTGATTTATAAATATCGAATAAAATATAAGCTTAGAAGTCATCGACCTTGCGTTTTTGAAATTTGTAAGCCACTTCACTTGTATCTATATCCGTTTCTTATAGTATAATATAGACACTGCTGATGCGTACAATGAGGTTTTTGTTTCCACTTGACCACTTGGTCATTAATATTGAGTACTTCATTTATGTTTATTTTTTTATTATTATTATTTATTAGTGCTATAAAAGCTTTTTTATGGAATTATTATGGCCTAATGTACCTACTTTATAAGTTTTCTACAGGTTAAGGTTCCAAATGATCGCCAAATCACCACATGCCTATTGTCGAGCATACTTTTAAAATATCTATAGTCTTTGGTTAGTCAAATTCTTATTTAAGATTCAAAATTACCGATATGTTTTTTTTGTCTGGTAATATTGTACCTTATTTCAGTTTGTATACAATCAATTTACATTACTGAACGTATAGACGAAAAGTTTAAAAAACGCCTAATCTTTTCGGCTGATCGTAATCCGAATTTAAAAGCCGGTACTACCAAAAAAAATGTAATCTACTTACCAACATTTTAATACGACATTAGCCCCATCCCTATACCTATACACCTGTTTGATGACATAGTTATATAGAGGTAGAAGCCGCCCTTCTAAAAAAATATTGCTATTCTTCTTTTTTCTTAACTGAGAAAAAAGGGGTTAAATGTGATCATAAATCATGTGTGCGCACACATACGCTGCTTTTTGTCCGATAAAACGGAAATATAATGGTCACTAAAAACTATTTATCAAGGTGTCTTAATGACGATTTAAAGCCGAGTTGACACAATGGACATGGAAATATGACAAATATCGTTTTGCTTTGTCAAGAATTAAATTATAATTGTTAAAAAAACAATTTCAATGGAAGATTAAGATGAAGAATTTCCCTCTAGTACTCGCCATTCAGCATTTAAAATATTATGTAAACGTCATACAACGTAAATTACTCGTTACCTATATTAACTACAATAAAACTTAATTAAGCCATGTGTGACAATATCCCAGACGTGATTGCAATAGTTTTATATTAAAGAGAATTATTAAAATATATAATAAATATTTGAATAACTGTCAAGTTAATCAAGATTATTTAAAGTTAATTTCGTACTTCATAAATATAATTTAGACTAGCTTTTTAGTATTTTAAATACCTTTTAAAATTCAAACTATTTGGATAGTCCCTAGTTGCGATATTAATGTATTTGTGTGTACTTTAGATTTCCGTTATAAATCGTATTAAAAAAATTTAATTTTGATTTTAAGATTTAAATCTTCTTTTTTGCAATGTATGTAAAAGTCGATTTTATTCTAAATGTTTCAAGAAATAATGTTGAACATTTGATATACTTAAAAAGAAATTGAATCGCGAGCAATTGATTAAGTTTTTTACAGCGTTATTCAGTTAAAAGAAGTTTTTTTTTTATTAAAAAGCAAGAAAATTATTTGTTAATGTAAAACTAAAATGTCGTTTAAAAAAAAAATACAAACGTTTTTGACATTTTATACTTATTTTAGTTTATTATTATTTAAGCATTATCAAAATACTTATAATGTTTTTTTACTTAAGTGTTTTTAATTTTTACAGGCTATTACCCAGTAAGATATAAATTTAACTATGTTCACAATTCTCTATATTACTTACACAAGGAAACTTTAATTATTTAAAGCAATACATTTCCATAATATTGCCACCTTCGACTAATTTATCCGAATATTTATTAGTATTTCAATTGACGAATAATTCCCATTACTGTAGGTATTAAGTACCACCGCCCTTCTCGTTTTATGTACCAATGTATATAGAGTCAGACTTATAGGTTAAACAATAATTATTTAAACACCACTGAGACAAATAGCTGTTATATTTGTTTACCTTTTGGTTATAATTTCGAAAGGTTCGACAATTGTGGACTGCAGCCGCCGGCCAGACTAAACGGGTTAGTGCAATTTTTTCTATTCATTGCGTGGCTCTCGAGTTGTGTGTACAATTCCAGGTCGTAATTGTGTGGCAATTATTTTGTTTTAGCCTGTAAATAATATGTTTGTAAAAAAAAGTGTTTTTTTTTTGGCTTTCAAGCATAGCTGAAAAGGTATTTTATGATGTATTATTGACTTGGAAATACGTGCTCGCGAACCGTCCGATCGAACGGCGCGGTATTGAGCAGACGAATTTTTAAATTCTCCCTTTAAACAATAAACTTCTTCTCTAACAACATTATTATTATTATTATTATTATTATTATTATTATTACTGCTACTATATTACAAGTATTATTGTTGTACGAGCATACGGGCTTGCTTGTACCCGACGTGGTTATTTGTTAACCGATTAGGTTACCTATGTGGACGAGACGGTAGTTTATAAAAAGAAGAAGAGGACGAACAATAGGCGTTTTTGAATTCCGCTGTCAACCGTCGCCCGTGATTATCATATTATTTTTGTACATCAAATCACATGAAAAAAAAAACATTCAATAATATAATACATAAATCACTTTGTGCTGTAGTTGTACAGGTATGTCATTTATGATTAAACTGAAAATTGGAAATATATATTATCTAATTACACTAAGCAGAGTATTGTGAAGTTATGTGCACATAAAAAAGTTCTCAAAATTACTGAACTCAAAGAAGTATATTATAAACCCTTTAGAATGTCAAAATCTAATATAATATTACCTATCTGAATTATATAGGGGGTAGGTGGCTCTGCTTCT